GGAATTGTCACCAATTTATTTTAAAACAGCGGTTAATTTAGACAGATAAAGTAGCCTTTTAGCTTCATACGTGTTTGGTGACCAACAAATGATCTTAATGAGCTGGAACACCCGACAACAGGTCAGTTCATTTTTATTGATCAATCTGATTGATAAGCTGCTACAACACCTGATACTGGCTGCTCATGTATAATTCACCCTGAATTTTTGTAGATCCTGATCACTGAGAGTAAGAGATCCCTAAATGACTTGGAAATTTTAGTTTCTTCCCACTCGTACAAATCTGGTTCAATAACAGTCTTAGTTGCTACAATAGTAAAAATCTAGTGGAGACTTGGAGTAAGGTCTCATACACACATATTGTAACTACTGAATGTAGTGTGGTATGGTGGTTCTGTGGCTAAGGATCTGTGGCTGGATCATATCCTGCGGCCGGCAGAGGAATCCTACTCTGTTGGGCCCCTGAGGAAGGCCCTTAACCCCAGCTGCTCCAGGGGCACCGTAGAAATGGCTGACCCTGCGCTCTGACCCCAAGCTTCTCTCTCCCTGTCTGTGTGTCTCATGGAGAGTAAGTTGGGGTGTGCGAAAAGACAAATTCCTCATACATGAAATTGTATATGGCCAATAAAGTGATCTGATCTTTTGACTGTGCCTCAGATGTCTAAGGCTTTTGCATGACAGTGTGTATTATACAGTATGTAATATCTTCTTTGTAATCAGTGTAATTGTATTTAATACATTCTTAAACAAAATATTTGTTTATTGTTTATTATATATTCTTTGCATGTCTTGACTCTCTCGCACCCGAATCGCTGTCACAATCAACTAGTCCTGCAGCCCAGGCCTGACCCAGCGATCTCCGGGCTGTGGGTCCTGGGCTGTCCTTCATGAGCTCGTCGTCTTGCTGAGCCCCCCGGGAGCTCCATCTTGCATCTGCTCATTAAAGTTTTCAGCCGATAGACGTCACCCGATTTCAACAACTAACGTGTAGTCATGTCTCTCCGGCGCAGGACCACGTTCTCCTCCTGCACTTAACCTCTGTGGCTATGCAGTGCTCTGCCGGTGAAGTGGTTCAGCACCACAGAGGCAGCAAAGGCCTGGTAGTGCAGAGTTGTATTTGTTTTACACATTACAGGAAGATGAAATGTTAAAGCACAAGAGCAGGAAATAACTTGACCTTGAGGAAGAGAGGATGCATTGTGGCTCTTTCACAGAAGCGGCCTGTCCTTTTCTATTACCGTGATGACTGGGAAAAACTTCGACACTGAAGAGAGAATTTTGGAGCGTTGAGCCTTTTCAAAACATGAATTAACAAAACAAAACAAAAAAAAAACATCTACGCATTTCCCAGTAAAATCTAAAGATTAACTGCATCTAAACAACTTAGCTTGAAGGATTATGTATCCTACAAAGAAAGCGCCGGTCAAATTTAGCCTGAGGGATTTTTTATTGAGGAAATATCCTCAGGATTGTTCACACAGTTATGCACAAAGAGGCTAAGAAAGGCACATTATGTGTTATTTACTCTCTACGTAGAGCTTGTGATTTAGCAGATTTAAACAACACCTTTAAACTTTCTGACAACCTTTTACAGATACGCCGTGATCTAATGCTTCCTATTACAGCTGTGAGAATGGTGCAAGACTGCCAGTGTTTTGTCTGTGTGGCGACGAATTCCTGGAGCACGTAGATCCACAGTGGTGCTCAGAGGCACAACGTCTAGCGCTGAAAACGCAGCTGGAGCAGCCCTGCTGCCTCTGCCCCGCCAGACCCCGCAGTGGGGTTGTTCTTCCTGTCCAAGCAAGTTCCTTCCTCTTGGCTCTCCTGTCTTCATCTCCGCTGGGGCGGAGCTGCTCTGCTGCTGGTCCTGGAGGGACACTGCGGAGCTCGTACGAGCGTGTTTGCGCGGGGCTTTGCTCTAGGTGGTGGGCCTCTGCGTCTGCGCACACGTGCCCCCGTGACGGTCTTGTGGGGTGCGTTGCATTTGTTCAGTCTTGGAAGCTCTACTGGCCACGGCTAATTGGTTGGTCAGCTGCTTAATTAATTAGTGCACTGTTTGTGCATGTTCCTTTCTGGGCATGCTCTGCCCTCGGCGCTGTTCTCTGGCATGGGTCTTCGGTCCAGGCACTTGGCATGCGTCCCTGTAGCCATCCTGACAGGCACTGTGCTCATCTGTAGTGGACTGGCTGCGTCTGAGCTGCAGGGCAGAAGATGCCATGTCAGTGCCCAGTGCAATGCCCTTGCTGTCCTTGTAGGACTCTGTCAGTGAAGATGCATCATTGCTAGCCTGCCGAGGCTGGGAGAGCACAGCTTTCAGCTGTGTTTTGGAGAGCCAATCTGAGAGTCTCTGGGCGACCCGACTCACCACATCCCCACTGCCGTGAGGGGTGTTGGTGCTCCAGCAGGAGGCGGTTTCCATGGAGAAAGATGCCGTGAAAATGTTCAGAAGACCAGGGATGGGTACTTCAGTGTCCCGTTTACAAACCATTTTGGGTTTCTCGCCCCCCTAAAGATCCCCCCTCAGTTGAAATAGTAAGGCAGTTTCTCGTCGCCCTGCCTGATGTGCTGGGCGGTGGAGCTGCTGGTGTACAATGGCTGCATCTTGTTTCTCCAGTGGGTTCTGCTAGTAGTTTAGTGTAGTGGATTAGTGTGAGTGGGCTGACACCAGGATTCAGTGTACAGGAACCACTGGCCAAGAAAAGAAATCCCGTCTTCCCACTGAGGAAGTGAGGTGTGCTGCTAAACCCCTCTTCAGCCTCGGCTTCAGTAGCAGAACCTCTCTTTTCCTCCGGATTCCGGCTCACATCCACGCGGGTGGGCGAAGCAGGAGATCAGGGCTGAGGAAAGGCCGTTCGTCAGTCAGGTCTGGGTCTAGTTCTTCCTAAACAGGGGCTGGCTGAAGCCCAGGAACCTGACTGCACAGGTTTCGGACTCACCTCTGCCACTGGAATAGAGAGGGAGCAGCACACAGTGGTACTGCCGTTGGGCCTGACTGCACCCAGGCTGGTCACAGACCAGTCTCGGCACCCCCTGCGCCTGAGAGGCCCAGCACAGCTGTGTGCATCCTGGGTACTGCGCATTACAAACAGGATATTAGAAACTGAGGAGCTGTCACAAGTATTAACGGTAAGGACCATCACAAAAACAAGAGTTTCTGGAAAAGTATAATTTATAACTCCAAATTTGAATTGCTTTCTTCTTAACAAAGACATTTGCTGTATATAATGCTGGTATTTTGTGGTAAAGCAACATGTAATAGACCAACATCCTGTGGGTAATAGAGGCTGTAAAAGCAAGAGTTTTTTTCTGTCTGTTTTTGCTTTATTTGGCCAAAATATTGTGCCTATCATGAACAATAAGTGCTTCTCCAGAGACATGCCCATTCTCCTGAATTACAGCCCACAGCTGTGGAGGAACGTACAAGGCCTGCATGCTAACACAAGCCCTTCATTTATCAAGGAGAAACAGTCAATTAAGACATCAGAACTGTAGCCTTTTAACCAGTAAACAAACACCGATAAAATAAAAGCTGTAAAAGTCCAACACCAGGTTTAAGAAAGCAGTTATGCCAGAATAAGAGGTTGAAAATATAGACAGTAATAAGGGTGTGAAAGGATTGTAGTGTATATAGAGAAGGGCTCAATAAAACCGCAAAGCTCAGTGTGGACACCTGCCCGGATTACGTAGTTTCTGTTTTACTCGATGTGAAGATATAATACCGCACCATTCGAAAAGAGACTTGAAAACATTAAGGTTTAGTTCCACTGGCCACTGTAAAGGGCAGGGCTCTGGACTCGTCACTAGAAAGTCGCTGGTGAGACGCTGATATTGTACAGTCGAACAAGGTGCGTCACCTGCATTGCTCTGGTAACACGCCCAGCGATATAAGCTGATTTGGATAAAGGTATCAGCCAAGTCAATGAGTGGGTTCACTCAGGGAGTGAGTGCTGCTGCAGGAGGAGAGCGCGGTGCCGATCAGCTGGCAGGCCTGAACTGGGAGCCAGGAGGGTAGAGCACCTTTTCCCAGCGCTTGACCTTGAGAAACACGGGCTGCTGAACTGTCAGGTGTTTCCATGCTGAGGAACGCAGGCAGAAGAAGAGCTCTGGGTGAAGAGAGGGGTCTTGAAGAGCAAGGCGGCATCCTTCTCTTCCTCTCCGAGACAAAAACGCACAACTTGCAAATAGCAATTAAACACAGCAGCTGGATGGATCAGAGTCCAGTTCTCTCCTTTTCTGCCTTTTTCCACATTTAGGTCATTACAGCAAAAAAAAAAAAACAACAAATAATTAATGGAAACCCAATCATTCTGGAAAAAAATAAATTTCATTTTCTAGATGCTGAATATATTTACAGTCATTTTATTGTACTGTAAATATATTCCTGTACTTTTTTCCTAAAAGGGTGGAGATATTTCTGCTTTTCAGGCAATTTACAAGCGCTAGTAAACTGGACATGGCTCATTTAGGCAGCAAGAGAGGTAAATATGATATTTTAGTTTGACAGCTTAGTTTGCAGGATCTATAGTTGTGAAATATCACACATTTTGTAATGGTGGTACATTTTTTTCTATTCTGAAACTGATAGCAGAATCTAGCAGGATCAGAAGCCATACTACAAAAATAAAATTACTGGATATGTATTAAATCAAAACTAAAACAACAATAGTTATACTATAATTCTTAAATATATTAATTTGTGTGTCTGTTTTTTCAACATTTTTACATTTACAAAGATGCATTGAAACTGCAGTTCATATTTTTTCCACAAAAATCTTTGTGGAAAATTTAGGAATTTATTATTTTTGGGTATTTTAAAACAGTCTGCACTTTTTTGTATTACTGGGAAAGAAAAATTAAAAAATCACCTTTCAATTAACAAACATGTTTTCTGTGGCAGACCAATGAAATGCAAAGCTCTTACCAGCATGCGAAAACATCAGGAAGAATAAAATTGTCTTCAGTCCTATTTGTACTTTCTCATAAAGAAAACTCTCTGATGGTAAAAAAATGTTTATTTCTGTGTGGCTAAACAAGCAGTTGACAGTAGTTAATTATTAATTAAACATGAAGTTGTAACATAATACAAGTCTAATCAAAAAGTCCCTGATGAGTTCTCAAAACAAACCAGTGGTGAGCAGGTTCAGAACTCTGTCTCTGGTGAGGCAGCCTGCACACTAATGAGCAGTTTGTAGACCTTGGGTACATCGCGACAACTACCTTTGACCTTTCCCTCTATCATCTGGGGAGTTCTGGAAAAAAACTGCTGGCAAGACACAGTTTATATTGCGTACAGATTTTCTTAAGGGGTTTGCTTATCTCTGCAGCCTGCCAAATATTTATAATGAATGTAAATGCCTGATGCCTTGTTTTAAACAGTACACAGCATGTGTTGCGTTTCTCTTCAATTAGAGAAAATACAGGACTCCTTCTTTCTTTGCTTGATAGTAGGAAATTTTGAAAAAAAAATATGTGTGCTGTTTTATAATGAAGACATTAATATATATATATAAGTGCCTAACCAACATGGATACTATGTTTGCTGAAATGTTCACTGTTGTTTACCATGGAGTTCCATGAACAAATTGAATGTTTAAATGTACAATGTGAGATTCTTCTGCACTGCTCCTCCGAAACTCAGATGAGGGTGGTGGAATATTGCAGAATATGGTCCATTCGAGCATGAGATGACGGGACTTTTCCTGAGCTCAGTTTGGGTGGAAACACGCACTTGAATGTGGAAAAATAGGGGGCGCTGTTTCTCACACGACACTGGTAATTGACATTTGCTCCACTTGTCTTTTGAGCGGCACCGAAGATTCGAGTCACAGTCGATTGAAGTCTGCACTGGAGCAGCTTGTATGACAGGGGTGGAAATATTAAGGAGGGGCTCTGCTGTGGCTCCCAGTAAAAATGTTGAAAAGTCTGAGGGCAGGAAAGCAGTGCCTTGCTGGGTTAGGTGGGCTGGTGGCCAGTTAAAGGATCCAAAACCTGTGATGCAGCGAGACTGGGGCCCCTAACAGAATAGGAAGGAGATAAAAGCAGAATAATACTCAGCAACCCCACCATCCTCATCGCTCCTCTGTCCTCCTATAAAAGGCTTTCTGCATATTCTCAGTGTGCTCTGTTGAGGAAGCTCACTTGAAGACGCGAATAGCTGCTCACGATCTGGTGGAAAACCCACATTTGTTTTTGATGATGCCAGTGGTATCCGTTTTTACAGCCGTGCCCACTGATGGTAAAAACTCATCTAATTAACCCTCCTGGTACGGCGTCACGCGATTAAATATGACTGAGCTGCTCCTTAGGGTTCCCGCTGCTGAAAACATTCACAATAATCATTTGTTTTGCTTTCCTCTTTAAACCCATCTCAGAGCATGGTGCACAGATAATTACCAGCTTCATCTCCTGTGTTTTTATCAAATGTTCATTAATAACAATAAAAGGTTGGAGGTTAAAAACTCATTTAATTGCCTTTATGTTAATGACATTATGAATAGCCTTAGCTACAAGATTCTAATTCTGTCCAGTATCTTGTTTCCCTGCAAAGCCCCTAGAGAACTGCTCATTTTACCAGCATTACTGATGCAGAGATTTTCCCTTGCAGGTGGGTTTTGTATATAATCAGAATTAATGTGCAGCACATTTTACCAGGGACAGTGAGCGTGCACTCAGAATAAGTAATTATCACAAGTGCTTTAGGAGGAAGAAAGGCACACATTTGGAAATTCTGAATACATACAAACTCATTAAAAACAATTTACTGTTTTTTAGGCCTTTAAATGTTATTTACAGCTTGACAGTCTTTTAGAAGTAAATTCATTCCCACCTCCGAAAATGTGTAAACCAATAGGAGCTGTTGTGATGACTAAATTAGCAGTCTGCTAAAAATAATGGTAATGAAAAACCCTTTCAGCTCAGCTATTTTAGCCATGAATATTGCAGAGGACGATTTCAAAGGAGCTTAGGCCTTTTAACTAATTCAGATCCCTATTAGCTAAGAAGCAGTTCAGGAAAATAGTTTTGATTGAGGTTATCAAAGCCTCTCTAACGGGGGGGTGGGGGTATCTTTGTGTGGGGGGTGTATTCAGTGTGCGAGTTAGAGCCACTAAAAAAAACGACAGCGCCAGAAAAATAACGATGCAGGAAGCGCCCCTGGGACATGTGCTTCTCCATGTATTTTATAAACATAATGTTGCTTTTAATCAAGTGTGTTTCCTTAATCTGCGGCTGTGATGCTCTCCGCGGTGATGGAAACTGCAATAAGAATAAAACTGCACACAATCTGAGCTCGAGCCGCCCCCCCCCACCTCTCCCTGCTCCCCCAGCGAAAATAATTAAATAAATCTTACAGGATATCACAAGGCAGTAAAGCACCAAATATTTCCTGTGCAAGATAGATGAAGTACTACATAAATATTTTTTGATATGCCAACAATATGTACTATAATGAAGAAAACTATAAACCATGAGGAGTTGTTAGTGTACTACTATTGCCTAGACAGAAATGAGGCCAAGGGGATGATAAATAGGCACATCTCCCCCAGCTAAAGAATGACCTGGATACTCCTTACGTCTCGGCGCCAAGTGGGCCCACATTTTTCACAGCGGCACTTAGCATCGGACAGTCTCTGGGCTTCCTTCAATAGGGCTGACCTGCAGCGTACCCTCAGTGGCTCTCCAAACTGTAATCACTTGCTCAGCCTGTAATTTTATCAAATAGCATGCACCTTTTCCTGCCACTTATTGGCCAATTAAGTCAAGTTCTCACGGAGGGGGTCCAGCCGGCGTCAAGTTATCTTGTATGAATTGATTGAAGCCATTCTGCAATCTATGAACCTGCTTTAATGATCTAGGTGATAATACTTGTAATTCTTCTCAGTCAGGGGAATTGGCTGCAGCTGTTGCCTGCTAAATCCTTGTCCTGGTACACTGAAGTACCGGCAAACCATTAATCTGCCCTTCAGAGCTTTTTTTTTTTCATAACCATGACTACGTTGGCGAAATGTGACATTTAGGATGCACAGGGAGGAGACAGGCCTGGCTGTGCAGGGGACAGTGGACATCCCTACACTGCTGCTAACCCTGGGCCAGCCAGAGCACCTCTGCAATCGCTCTGGTTTTTGGGCCCAGAACCTGTCTGTTAGTTAATACTCTGACACTGACAGGCTCCCTTCTAAATGCAGAAAGGGGCGACAAAAGGGTTTTTGCAGAAACCTCAATTTAAGATGTTATTTTCAACACTTTTAAAAACTGCGGCACATAAACATTTTGCACAAGGTCATGAAGTCAAAATAGCAAATTAATATAAAGAAATCTAAATGCACTTAAATTTTGAGCAGTTTAAAATCAGGGTCAAATAATAAATATAAGACGTTATCGCCTGTGTTATTTAGAATGAATCAATACAATTAATTTTATTCTTAAGTGAAAATATTTCTTTTTAAAAAATAATTTGCATCGCAGTTCATCATTTTTTCTATCCCTGTCAAGCTGATTTATCATGGAGTTTCTAGTTTTTGTCAAAAATTTAATAAGATTTCAAAAATAAAAGTGATTTATTTAATAAGGTAAATGAAAATCCAACTCATCTTGAAGTCTTTAATTTCTTTCATTCTTTCTCCCTGAGATGGAAGATTTTAATTTTTAAGCCTAAATTAATGATACAAGAGCCTGCGCCAGCATTTTAATTATGATTTCCAAAAGGAAGTACATTGTTTTAAAGAGTATCTGAATTTTATTTTAAGTTTACATCAGAGAATTAGAACCACATAGAATATAGTTGCACAGATCTTAAATAATTTTTGATCAGTAAATCACAAAAGGAATATTGTGGAGAAGTGGCACTCTTTCTCAGTAACCCACAGCTTATCTGAATACTTGTATGGGGCAAATCTCTGCAGTTTCAATAAAGGGGAGTGTCTCAACCTTTAAGCCCCATTTCCTAGTATCTCAGCCTGCAGTAAAAACCATCAGAGCTGTAGTGTGGCTGTGTGCAGCACACACACACACACACACACACACACACACACACACACACACACAGGTCTGCTGTGAACAGCAATAGGTCAGCCTAAGTGTCCTCAGTGGGTTGAATGGCTGTGGGTCAGGGGTTATTAAATCCAGGTGGAATCTTGGACAAATTTATCAAGGGAATCGGATCAAGTAGAGTTTTAAGTATTGTCACAAGGCTAAAACAGCAATACCAGCTGGTGCACAGTAGCCAAGACAAAATTCACCTGACAACGCAATTTGATGCTTGAAAAGCAAAATATATTTTTTTGAAGATCAGTGCTCTCTGAAGGTTGGATTCGTGAAGTGATGTCTGATAATGGATGATTGTGTAATATGACATCAGTACATTACAGGTACATTTACTCATTTTTCTGAGCATTGTTATTTTTTTATTTTCCTTTCCTTTAAAAGTGCACTTACACAAAAACACGAAGTATATAATAAAGAAGTAACGATATGGGCACATAAACGTGTGTTTGCATGTGATGCTGTTTCAGAGGTGTGTCGAAATGTGTCCCTGCACTGCAAGAAAAACTATTTTGGGAAACTAAATGCAGGTACTTTTTATGTAAATGTCAGCGTTATATTTAGTCCGACAAATGTTATGGCAAAATGAAAGAAATAAACACTGTTGGCAAACTTGATCTGTTTTTAGCAAACAATTTAGCAGGTGCAATATTTACAGCATTAGCTCCGATTTATATATTTTTTTGGCATGGTGGGAGGGAGATCGCAGACAGACGCGCCAGACTGCGGCAGCATGAGAATATGTGCAGCGATGGGTGTGGCAGAGCTTTCCAGAGCATCACTCCAGAGCACTTCTGCACCAGCGAAACGCAACACCAGCTCCTGTCTGAAGGAATAGAGCTCAGTCCGACTTCTGTCTGAAATGTCTGCAAGTGGAGAAGAGCTGTCGCAGGGGCAGCGGAAGAGGAAACAAGCACGCTCACAGCCTGGTGGCAGTGTGATTGCACGCGGGCTGATCTGA